ACTACTAAGTCTGCATATACCTAATAACAGCATCAAAATCTATGAAGCAAACATGTATGCAAGAGAGAAATGGATAACTTCACAATTACAGGTGGAGACTGTAACATTCCTTTGTCATTAAATGATAAAACAAGAGGACAAAATAAAACAGTAAAGATATAGAAGATTTGAACACTCCCAAACAACTTAACCCCAAACTTAAGTACACAAGGAACATTGACTAAACTGGGCCTTTCCTGGGTGACAAAATAAGTTTCAATGAATTTTAAAAGATTGCAATAATACAGAATGTGTTCTGATGACAACAAAATTAAATTAGAAATCACTAACAGGCCAGGCACAGTGGCTCAAGCCTGTAATCCCAGCACTTTGGGAGGCTGAGGCGGGTGGATCATGAGGTCAACAGATCGAGACCAATCTGGTTGACATGGTGAAACCCCATCTCTACTAAAATACAAAAAATTAGCTGGGCATGGTGGCACATGCCTATAATCCCAGCTACTCAGGAGGCTGAGGCAGGAGAATTGCCTGAACCCAGGAGGCGGAGGTTGCGATGAGCCAAGATCGCGCCATTGCACTCCAGCCTGAGTAACAAGAGCGAAACTCTGTCTCAAAAAAAAGAGAAATCAATAACAAAAAGATACCGAGCAAACATTAAAAATACTTAGGAATTAAATAACATACTAATAGATAATCTACAGGTCAAATAAATCAAGGGATATTAGAAAATATATTGAACTGAATAATGAAAACATAACAAAATTTGTGGAATATAGACAGCTAAAGCACAGCTTAGATATTTATAGGTTTAACTCTGTATGTTAGAAAAAAAGAAGAAAAAATTAGTGATTTAAACTTTCACCTTATGAAGCTTGAAAGAATAAATTAAACCCAAAATAAGTAGAATCAAGGAAATGATAAAGAATTAGTGAAATAGAAAATATATCAATGTTAGGTTTAAAAAAAAAAAAAAAAATCAACAAAACCAAAGTTGGACTTTTTTTTGGAAAAAAAAAAAATCAATAAAACCAAAGCTGGTCTTTGAGAAGATCAATGAAAATGATAAGCCCTTAGCTAAACTATTAAAAAAAAGAAAGAAAGAAACCAAAAGTTACCATTATCAGGAATGAAAGAGAGGACATCAATAAAGATATTGGTGATGTTAAAGGGGATAATAAAGAATATCCTAACTTAGTGCTGATAAATTTCACAACTAAGATGAGATGGAAAATTCTTTGAAAAATACAAATACAAAGCTGACACAAGAAAACAAGAAAATCTAATGATCACTATATATATTACAGAAAGTAAATACGCAGTTAAAAATTTTCTTACAACAAATTATCGGCCCCAAGGGTTTTCTTGCTAAATTCTATCCAACATTTAAGAAAGGCACATCTTACAAAAACATTTTCTGAAGACAGGGGAATACTTCCAACTTGTATAATTCATAATGACCCTGAAAACAAAACCATACAAGGATATTATGGGAAAACAAAGTTACATCTGCTCTATGTATGAAGTAGCCATCCTTTTTCCTTTACTTTCTTAATAAACTTGCTTTCACTTTGAAAAAAGAAAATTACAGACCAGTATCTCTCATCAATGTAGGTATAAAAACCCTCCATGGAACTGAAATTAGCAGGAATTGAGTTGGAATTCAGCAAACAGAATTCAGCAGGAAAAGACATCATGACTAAGTGGGGATTTATCCCAGAAATAAAAGGTTGATATAACATTCAAAAATCAATGTACTTCATCATACTAGTAAAGGGGAAAAATCATATGATCATCTCAAGAGATCTCAAAAAAGCATTTAATACTCATTCATTATTTACACTCATTTTTTAACAAATACAGTGAAATTTCCTCAGCCTGATAAAGGGCATTTAGAAAAAGCCAACAGCAAACTTAATGGTGAAATAATGAATGCATTCCCCCTAAGGTCAGGAACAAGGCAAGGATGCCACTCTCACAACTTCTATTTAACATAATACTAGAGATGATAGCAAGTATAATAAGACAACAACAACAACAACAAAAAAGGCATATATTGGAAAGGAAGAGGTAAAACTGTCTCTATGCATAGACATCATTAACTACGTGAAAGTCCTACGAATCTATTTAATAAAACCTACTAGAACTAATAAGTGAATTTAGGAAGGTCCCAAGACACAAGATTATATTGTATATCAAATATAATTGATATAGGAAATAAATTCTATCTCTATATACCAGCAACAAATAACTGGAATGTGAAATTTAGAAAATTACTATTTATAATAGGATAAAAAATATTTAGAGATAATTTTAATGGAAGATATATAAGACATCTACACTAAAAACTACCGAACACTGTTGAGAGAAATTAAGGAAAATCCACATAAATGGAGAGAAGTACCAGGTTTATGCACTGGAAGGCTCAACATTGTTGGGATGCCAGTTCTCCATAAACCTACCTGTCTTTAGTCTAATGTACCCCAATCAAAATTCCACTGTACATTTTTTGGGGGAAGGTAACAAGCTACTTCTTAAATTTTATGGAGCAGACCAGGATATAAAATGGTCAGTACATTTTTGAAAGAAGATAAAGGGATTAAAGAACTATAATTGCAGAACTTGCTGTAAAGCAATAGTAATTGATGCAGTGTAGTGTTGGTGTAAGGAGAGATAAGTAGAATAAAAGATAACAGAGCCCGGAAATAGGCCCACTCTTACACAGTTAGCTGACTTTTGAAAAAGCTGCCAAATAAATACATTAGGAAAATATTTGCAACAAATGATGGTGCAAGCTATATGAAAAAGGAACTTTAACCCGCAACTCACACAATACACACGAATTAATTTGAGATGGCTCACAGACCCAACAATGAAAGCTAAAATCATGAGCCTTCTATAAAAATATAGAGCAAAATAACTTTGTGACCTTGAGGTAGGCAAAGGCTTCTTAGTTATCTTTACAGAAAAAAAAAACTATTAAGGAAAAGATTGATAAATTGGACTTCATATAAAAATAACAAATAATATAAAAAGCTTCTGCTCATCTTAAGACACTATTAATTAAATGAATAAGCAGGCCACACACTAGGAGAGGATATCCAAAATACCGATAATCTGAAAAGGACTCCTACAGCTTAACAATAAAAAGACCAATACCCAAATAAAAATTAGAACACTTGAAAAAGATCCTTTATAAGAACACATATATGGTCAGTAAAAACATGTGAAAGTGCTCAAACTTAACAGACATCAGATGAATAATTGGAACCACAATACCATACTAATACACATGTTAGAATGGCTCAAATTAAGAAGAGTGACAATACCAAATATTGGGGAGGAGGTGGAATGGCTAGAACTCTTGTACATTACTGGTGGGAGTATAGCATGGTACTTTCAAGAACTATTTGTAAGCTCTTTATAAAATTGAATATATAGCTGCCTTATGACCCAGCAATTCTACATCTCAGGAGAAATGAAACATGACCATAGAAGGATTTGTGCCAGAATGTTCGTAGCAACTATATCCGTGGTGGCCAGAAACTAGAAGTCCAGATGTCCATTAATAGGAGAACGGACTTGTGAATTATGATATAGTTATACAATGGAGTACTATTCAGTAATGGAAAAAACAAATTACTAATACATGCATGAATATGGATAAATCTCAAAAAACACACTTGAAATAATCCAGGCCCAAAAGAATACATGCTATATGACTGCATGCTTATGAAATTCTGGAAGAGGCAAATCTAATCTAGTGATGAGAATCAAAATGGCAGAACATTCCCTGGGGGAAGAGGACTGACTAGGGAAAAGAACCAAGAGTTTCTGAAGTGACAAAATCTATACATACATATCTCAATATCTCATTGCCAACACAGCCAAAAATGAATCCATTTCTTTGCATCAGTGTTTTCATAGTGCCTGGCTACCCCTGTACACCAGGTGATTTTGGTGCACTTAAGTAAGGGTTGAGAAAGAATCTGGCAATTAGAGATTTCTAGAATCTCTAAGTTTTGTCACCAAGCACAATTTGTCTTTAATTTTACAAACGGGAACTAAGATATGTCTAAGAGAAGTAGTTTTTAACATAAAGACAGACAACAAATAATGCCACGATTTTATACTAGAATAAATGTAAAAGATTCCTATTGGTACTAAAAAAAAGCATTTCTCTCTCTGGATAGACTCGTAGACTTGCTGGCTGGCTGAAGAATGCGTAAGTACTATGCTTCTAATTTTTGTCTCAGCTGCCAAGAAGTTCAGAGCCAAATTCAGTGCTCAGTTTAGTGATTAACATCCCAGCTGCCTGATATATCAATTTTTCTTGGGGTAGGATATATAAGGAGGGGTATTAAATTATCCTGTTTCATACTATAAACTACCCCAAATCCTTTTGGGGAAATGGTGTATAAATCATATAAAAGGTTGGTCATTTTGACAAAATTAAGTATTTTTTCACTGCAAATATAAATGAATTATAGGTTTCTTGTTGTCAAAAAGGTTAGATTAGGGAGGATTTTTGCTGTTATTTGACTGAGTCATCTGCTAAAGGTGAGTCACTATCCACCCAAATGACTGAGTGATATAAAAAACACATCATTTAAAAATACAACTACATTTGCAAGGAAACATTACACTTTTATTTGATTGTAAGGGTTAGACTTAAGGAACCACTGTAAAAGTAGAGCATACGTTAAGAGTCCCTAATGGATCATAGATGGCAAAAGAAATTTAAGTGCACTTCATTATATTCTTAGGATAAAGAAATCAGCTCTGTATGCAAATGTGCTTACTGCTATTCTGTTTCTGTGATAACTGATGTCAGCTGCTTTGATTTTATCAGCTGGCTAGGATAGTTTCTGTCCCTTCTCATTTAACAAAATCACACAATCTTGGCCCTTAGGAGAAAATAAGATGTTTTTATTCCCAAAGGACATATTCTAATGTAACATTAAGTTAAAAAAAGAAATCCCACCCCCACACAACCCTCTTACCTGAGCTGCTTCATTGTTCATCAATCCCATTAGCGTCTCCTCTTTTTGCACTTTTTTGCACGTTGCACAGGACTCAGCGCTTCTCTCACTGTGAACTTTTTTTCCTATTAACCTATTTTGTTCCTGATTGACTTGCTTTGTTGCAATCTTTTGTGAATCAACCTGTTGGTATAAATAAGCAATAATGTATAATGAAAACTTTTGGTATTTATTTTAAAAAAGGCATTTATGCCCAGATTCTTAAAAATTCTAAATTTGCCAAGCTTTAAAAAAAGAAATATAGAGGAAAGCAACAAATGGACATTATAGAAAAACTATGGTCATTGGCAAGATCCAGACCCTTTCTCATCAATGGGCCAAGAGCAATTAAAATTAGTGTCACTGTTATGTACTCTTTAGAAATTATCTCTACAGATAACTTGCTTACTGAAAACAACATTTTTAGAGAAAACTGTCACATTCTAAAACTGCACATGAATTCATTATTAACCTTTGCTGGGATGGATCCAGTATATCTCTGTAGTTTAAATTCTTATTAATTAAAATCTTATTTTTCTATCATTGAAGTGACCCTAATTAATATGAATATGTAAAAGCAGCTTGTGATGTTGCTTACTTTTTTGTGCAGGTAGTTTAACCTTTGAGCAAGATGAATAACAGTTCATGTCATGAAAGGTACCAGTATCAGAGGTTAAGTTCTACAAGCTTGCTGTCTCTAAGGTTTCTTTTTCACACCATGGTGATACCTGGGGGATGCCCGACTCTCAATAACCTTGCAGTAGACTCGGAAATAGAAGGGCAGAACCCACAATACTGTTGGAAGATTGAAAGCTACAGCAAAGGTCCTTATATGAAGTCTTTGTTCAGCAGCTTAATGTTTATAGCAGCTGAAAGTGCCATCACCTTTTTTCATGGGTTAAATAGGGGGCAGAAGATAGGATCAGCACAAAGGGGAAATAATGGAGTAACCAGTGCCAAAATAGAGAATAAATTACTTTGGCTGGGCAAGCAGAGCCTTAATTTGTAGTCTCTCAATTTTTAGCTTTCACTGCCAAGTGTGTTCACTTCTTCCTTCAAAATATGCTGCTGTTTTGTGGCTAGGTGTAAACTGTCACAACAGCACTCTTTATTCTCCCCTCCTCCGGGATCCCAGCTTATAAAAGGATGACAAAACCACTGCCTTTCAGTAACTTGCAAGTTGGAAATGTTTCTTAATCATGTAGGGATTCTTTATTTCCACCACTCCATCCTCCCAAACTACTAGGGAAATTTATGTCACCATGTTCTGGGCCACTTTTCCACTGAGTCATCTTGGAATGCACATCATACCATTAGCATAAAACAAAGGTCTCCCAAGGTTCTTGCATACTATTTTATTCTAATAAAATATTGATTTACCAATAACTGTGAAAATTTGTTCCATGTTATAAATGGTTAGATGAGATTTTCCCTCCCAGCTTTATTGAGATATAATTGAGAATAAAAATTATATATATTTAAAGTATACGACATGATGTTTTGATACATGTATATATTGTGAAATGAATACCACAAGTTATTAACATATCCATCACTTCACATAATCACCATTTTTTTGTGTGGTGAGAATATTTAAGATCTACTCTCTTAGCAGATTTTAAGAATACAATACAGTATTATTACAGTCACCATGCTGTATATTAGATCTCCACAATTCATTCATCTTACTACTAAAAAAGTTTGTACCCTCTGACTAGCATCTCCCCATTTTCCCCAACTCTCATGCCAACAACTACTGTTCTACGCTCTGCTTTCAGTTTAATTTTTTTTAGATTCCACATATAAATGAGATCATATAGTATTTGTCCTGTGTCTGGCTTATTTCACTTAGCATAATGTCCTACAGATTCATCCATGATGTTGCAAATTCAGGATATCCTTCTATTTATGGGTGAATAAGATTCCACTGTGTGTGTATACATATATATACACACATATATGTAACACTGTAGTTACAAACCACACTTTATCCATTCACCCATATACCCACATATATCAAAATAAGTATAATCAAATATAAGTGTAATTTATCCATTCACCCATATACACACATATATGTAACACTGTAGTTACAAACCACACTTTATCCATTCACCCATATACCCACATATATCAAAATAAGTATAATCAAATATAAGTGTAATTTATCCATTCACCCATATACACACATATATGTAACACTGTAGTTACAAACCACACTTTATCCATTCACCCATATACCCACATATATCAAATATAAGTATAATCAAATATAAGTGTAATTTATCCATTCACCCATATACACACATATATGTAACACTGTAGTTATAAACCACACTTTATCCATTCACACACTTAGGTTGTGCCATATCTTGATTATTGGGTATAGTGTTGCAATGACCATAGGAGTGCAGATTCCTCTTTGACATCCTGGTTTTATTTCCCTTGGATACGTAGCAGGATGTGAGGTTGCTGGTATTTCTATTTTTAGCTAAGATATTATTGAAGGTTTTAGTGCCTCCTATATGCTAGGCATATTAGGTTTAAGAGTTTTTGCCCTGGGAGTCTCTGATGAATAAGCAAATTTGATATAAGATATTCAGTCCTCTGTGAAGGTTCCTGGAAGAGATGATGCCTCCTGGATCTGCTGTTAGTTGGCTGAATGGTTAGGCTGCCCTGCCGTGGGCACTTCTAGCTACTAAACAAAATGATAACCAATTTATGGATAATTCTATTTCTAAGGAAACTCAAAAAATTGTAAGAATGAAGTGGGATGATAGTGTACACAGTGAAACTTTTTCTCAAAGATAAAAAGTAAATATAGAAAACACCCGGACCTCCCTTATAATAGAAGGACACTAAACAAGTGTGTGACATTTTCAAGAAAGTAGCCACGCAAATGAAGTAGTTTTTATTTAATTTTCCATTGGAACTTCACACTGTTCTATAAAATCAAGAATACCTTTGGACTTCTAAAATTTATAAACCAAAAATGTGTTTCTAATTAAGAATTTGTACTTCACTTTCCTCATATACAGAAAATAAACATAAAGAGAAGTTCATAGAATTATTTTCAGACTTAAAGCTTAGGAAAAAATTTTGTAAACTGTTGAATTCTATACAAATCATACTACTACCAATAATAATATATTCAACCCTGGCTGTGCGATGGGAGCCTCAGGTTTAAGGTGAATGAAGGAGTAAACTTTTATTGTCTGAAATGGAGGATAGCTTGAACATTTTAGCGCTGATGTCAGACTGCAGCTACTCCTCTGCCTGGGTCAAGCATTTAGGAAGGGTGGGAGGGCTCATTATGCCCAAGTGTCTACATTACTACAATATAGTAACATATTATATGGTTGCATATTGTATATATGATTCAGGTACCATAATAAGGTGGGAGTCATTGATAAGGTGGTAAAAGGATCCTCTGGGTCATGAAAAGTAGCTTATTCGTGGGTCAAAATGGGGCCTTTAGTAATGCTCCTTTCCAACTTGGCTTTAACATTCTTATCTGGGAATTCTAGAACTTTAGCTCACTTCAGTAAGCATACTTACTGAAATATGGTTTCTTTCAGTGAATTTTGGACATAAAATCCCCATGAGTGGCATAAAGAGGCTGTGGTAGACTTGATGAGAGAGTCTTCTAATTTGATTGGTGGTGCTAACTCGGGAGCCAGTGACTTCTAAGCAGGAACTACTGGCAAGTGACTTCAGTTTCACATCCCTCATTTTGAGTCAAGAAAATAACCCAAAAGATTTTTCATGAAAAAATATCAACATCACTACTCTCTTGACAAAAATTCAATTTCAATTTAACTCCAATAACAATATTTGAGGACTTTTCTGTTCAGGTTTACAGAGAACGGTTCATAATGTCTACTAAAATCCGGTGTTGGGAAAAAAAAGCTTTTTTTTTTGCAAAAAAAGGTGATGTAAGTTTGATGAGATTCTTATGGCAATGTGTTACCTTCTAATACCTAATCAAAATATGTTTTTCTTAAAAATATTATATTTCCCTCTGTATAAGTTTCACTTGTTATTAGAAAAATAACATTTAAGGCTGGGCGCGGTGGCTCAAGCCTGTAATCCCAGCACTTTGGGAGGCCGAGGAGGGTGGATCACGAGGTCAAGAGATCGAGACCATCCTTGTCAACATGGTGAAACCCCGTCTCTACTAAAAATACAAAAAATTAGCTGGGCATGGTGGCGTGTGCCTGTAATCCCAGCTACTCAGGAGGCTGAGGCAGGAGAATTGCCTGAACCCAGGAGGTGGAGGTTGCGATGAGCCGAGATCGTGCCATTGCACTCCAGCCTGGGTAACAAGAGGGAAACTCCATCTCAAAAAAAAAAAAAAGAAAAATATAATTTAAAAGATGTAAACATTCATAACTTTTTTCCCTTGAATACTTAATGATAGTAACATTTTTATATATGTATACTTTTTCTGTTCCAATGTCTTTCTTTAAAATATCTTTGTCCAAAGAAAGTACTAGTCCAGAGTTCATTCACTAGTCTGTTAAATATTTCTATAACTAAATATTAAACTTCATATAACTAACTATAAAGCAACAAAAATGTTACTTTATAAATGGGTTCTGAAGAAATGATTTTAGTTACTAATAAGGGAATTCTGTCTGTGACTAAAAAGAAATTTGGAGCCATGTGACTGATACGCATGTTGGAATGATTTTTGTTAAGGAAGCAATTTAATGTGGAAATTATTCTATATGTGCATCATTCAGGAGAACTGAGTACAGGATAGTTTATACTGTCATACTTTGCATTTGAACATTTTCAGGTTTGGTTTTTGTGGCATTGCAAAATTTGTAAACTTAAAAAATAAAAAGATAAAGTCTAGCCACATATGGTGAGCCCATATCTTATGCTATCATTAAAAATATATGTATGCACTTAAAAATACTAGAGAAATAAGTCATATATAAATATTGATCTGCTGCAAAATATATCGCCTATCATCTTACTATCTATACATCCAGGTTAATCACATTTGTTAACAAATCAGCAAAGGACTTAAAAGCTTATATTATTTTTAAGTGGTTTTTTTTTTAAACTCATAATCAAAATTTTCTAATCAAAAGGAAAGGAGTAAAATATTCTTGATGGAGGCTCATTGGAAAAAGTGTTTTATATTCTATTCTCTACATATAAAAATGGTGTCACAACAAACACCCTTTGAATTTGATGAAACTGAAAATTCTTGTGCATAATAATTAGGATTTTATATCAGAGGATATAGCTATCAGTTTTTAGAATGGCTTCTTTTATATTTCAATTAAGTTTATGAAACTGAAAAACTACAAAAAGGGAAAAAATCTACTTAAATTAGCATAGATTAAGTGGTGACCATTATTGCAACAAAAATACTATGTCAAGGAAATGGCTCTTTGTTTTGTTGCAAAAGTGATAAAAACACAAAAGTCAATAAAACTGTTAAAATAAGTCTCAGTAATTACCAAGATCAAAATCCAGTGGCTTTTTATTAAACATGAACTTTTGTTCTGCCTTCTGCAATACCTAAATAGTGCTGACAATTGGTTTGTGAGGCACTTGCTACAATAAAATCTAATTGTATCACGAGAGAAAGGTGACAATCAGGAGATCATGAAAAAATTACATATTCTCACTGGTAGTTAATTAGCCATGCAAAACCTCCTCAAACAGATATTCTCTTCTATTAGGAATGATTACTATGCAGGCCTACAGATGTCAATACCACAGTCATTCAAATACTTCTTTTCCTACTAATTGAAGGTTGTAAAGCTCTGGTGCCAAGGTTTTGCTTCCAAAGAGCTAATTTATGACTAGAAGGATATTTTATGTCTTCAGTTGCAGCAGCTACAAAATTCAGCAAATCAGAACCATCTGTGCACTGATACTTGACTCACCATTCATCTAGCAGCCTATCAGTCACATTAGTTTGCATCCTGCATTCTTGGCTCATGAACAAGTGTGATGATCCAAAGTTCATAAGAAATATTAAAAACGAATGGCATCCTGACCCTATCTTATTGTACATGCATCAGGAAAAAAATGCCCTCTACACTTTATTTTTGCATACAGATAGTGGTCAAGGAAGACATGGAGGCTGAGTTGCCTGTCCACTGATGTTGCTAATGGCAGCCTAAGATTTCCACCGCCCAATTAAAAATGCTCAAAATCTTAATTTTTTTATTTTTAAGTTGGTGTTGGTCTTTTGGAAGATGGCAGACTAAAAGAAGAGGTGTAACTTTAAAAAAATGGCTTTTTAAAACCTGGATCTCTGGCATAAACTCTTTAACTTTCTGTAAACAGTTGTTTCCATGGATTGAAATATCAGCATATACAAATAATCTGGTTAAATCCAAGACTATTATCACCACCAAATTATGGCCACATTGGTAGGCAAAAACAGAGGACAATATCTAAAGAAAACCTAAAGAAAAGATGCAAATGATGGCTTTCATTGGTAACATCAGACTAGCTTTACCCTAGTCACATTTCTGTGACAGTAGTGACTGCTTTATTTCTTTCACAGTACACAGTAGGTCATAGATCCTATTTTTCTCTATGAGACAACAGGTCAAAAGAACTTGGAACAAACTTTCTTGGTGCTGAATTAGGAGAAATGGGAGTTAAATATAAGGAAGAAGAAACTTAGTTGTCAGACTTACTTTGAGACCTAAAATAACTTCATCCGCTAGAAAATTATCAATAGGAGGTAATTATAGGATAGCAGGAATATATTACTTACTTTTTGACTATTTGGAATATGCACATTTATACTCTGTCCTTTCGAGGAAAATTCCAGTGGTCCTAAAGGTATTCCATCAGGGTTCAAAATTTTCTTGAGCACTTGATAGTCTGGCTTTTCATCATATGCTAAACTATGAGCACATACCAAAAATTGGGCTATTTCACCTGTGAATTATCAAAGTTTTTACATGTCATTCACAATTGGCAAGAACTGGAAAGACGCCAATAATCTCAAAATCTTTCTGTTATATCTTTTACACACTTAAATGTCCTGAAGAAACTAAAAATGATCAATTCAATGAAAAGAACTTTAAATGATATTCAGAAATGACTGAAATATAGTAACCTACAGAATTGAAAAGATGGGAAAGTTTTTAACATATCTTTGTTGATATGCTTACAATTCACTGATCTTATGAGAGGAAGTACATTTTAATAATTGTAGTGATTCTTATTTATGAGGTACAGCTATTAAGGACTACACAAATAATACATTCGACCATACTTCATACTTTAAGAACTTCTGAGAATCCAGTTAAAGTGTTACTTATTATAAAGCTCTTTACTTCTAAGAAAAAAACTGCAAATTTTAATTAAGGCTTTGATTTTGGGATTATAACAGTATAGTTAGAAAAGACCTTAAATTCCATGTTGTTAGTGAAGATTGACTTCAGAATGCATGAAACCTCCCTCATGTCCTTCATACCTAGCTAGCCTGGTACTCAGCATAGTCTTTTTGATTTTAGAGCAGTGCGATGAGGAGATGCCATCTTTTATTTTTTCTCTAGTATAAATAAATGTTCCCTTAGAACTACACAGTAACTCCCCTTCCCCCAAAAAGGTTAAGAACTACCAACTTTTAAATACAAACAGAATAAGTAACCAACAGTTACAGACTTCACTGCATTAAAATATTTGTAGTTTGCACTTCTGTTTCATATTGAGGTTCAACCTAAGATTGGAAGAGAAGTGGTGATAATTTCAAATACTATTTAAAAACTTTCATTTGTTCACAGAGATGTTTAGATATGCCTTTACCTTTCAAAAACATATTACTTCCCAGCACTTTGGGAGGCCGAGGCGGGTGGATCACGAGGTCAAGAGATCGAGACCATCCTGGTCAACATGGTGAAACCCCGTCTCTACTAAAGATACAAAAAATTAGCTGGGCATGGTGGCGCATGCCTGTAATCCCAACTACTCAGGAGGCTGAGGCAGGAGAATTGCCTGAACCCAGGAGGCGGAGGTTGCGGTGAGCCGAGATGGCGCCATTGCACTCCAGCCTGGGTAACAAGAGCGAAACTCCGACTCAAAAAACAAAAACCAAAAAAACATATTACTGATTCAAACTCAACTACTTCTTACTTTCTCACTTAGTTGTTTATATCCATGGTGGGAAAACCTGGGAAGCTTCATGGGTTGGTGGGAGTGACTTCACTTTCCCTCCAGGCCTACCTCTATTCAAATGGAAAACTACAGAGGCACTGAGTTTCACTCCCTATAGGGAAAAATTCCAAAAGGAATAGTTAACATCCCTTTCTCCCTATTACAGTTAGAGCGACCACTTTATACCATATAGTCCAGAGCTATTTTCTGGGAACATGAAGCTAATGTGATTAAAATGTGAATTCTTGGCTCTGGGCTTTTCTTCCAGGACACGGTAGCAATTATGCAACCTATTTTTCTCATCTCTAATTTTTTATTTTTATCAAATTCTGTTATCTAGCATTTGGTTAACCAGATCTCTGTTAACTAGCAAGTGCTGCTATTTTATCACCATGTTTATAACTGATGCTTCATGCAGCCCCTTAACAGGGACTGGGGGGTATCCAATTCCTAAATGGATGATTAAAAAAAAGATTAAATTATATTCACTACACTTTAATGTAAATATTGTTGCTTTTTGTCCTTTGAAGATTGGTAAGCCAAGTTTGGTACATATTTCCATTAATCAGAATATACAAAATGAAGAAGAGAGTTGAATGTGTTGAGAACAAATCACTGTTACAAGACAATGGAAAACTCCTGGCACCCCACCAGCTGACAGCAGCTGTGCTGCAAAGCCTTCATGGGACTGGGGTTTGGAAAAATGAGGTACCAGTGAGGTAGGAGAGGGAGAAAAAAAAAAGAGAGCCATTTCCATTATTAATTTATTATTACAAACCTGAAGCTTAGACTATTGTGATATAATACTTGTTTAAATGTTAGTTTTTCAAGATTTGGATTTATTATATTAAGTACCTTGTAAAGTTTACTAGCATATTGCCAGAACTATAAAGCAAAATGCCTTTAGTATGAAATTATATTTTTGAATCATCTGCTTTTTAAGCCAGTGAAATATGAAGTATCATTACTACCAAGAGATAGAAACTTTTGAAACTATTATTATTTTGCTTAGTTGGACATGCATGCTAGAAACTTCTTGGCTGTTTTATTTCATAAAATGTTTCAGTAATAAACTTTTGTACATGAGCTCCTTTCATTTTCATGGTTGTGTTCTTCCTAAGTACAACCTCCTAATTTAAGAGGTCTTCATGTTAATATTAAAGTTTCAACATTTTGTGCTTTGGAAATAGAAATCTGCATTTTATAAATAATAGTATGGACTCAATAAAATGGTTTGTAGTGGGAAAAAAAAAACTGGGCATGCCTCCCATCTAGATTATTCATCTGACTCAAATCTTAACTCTAACAATAGAGTATGATAGAATATACACTGATCCACAAGCATTTGGCTTGAACAATTCAGGGCATCTGGGCTTTCTCTTCTAATCCTAAACTGAGCAGGTCCTTTCTCTGCAGGAGTGACAAGAAAGGTAAAAGAGATAAATTTAAATGACATCTTCCCATCTTTCTTTCTTTCTGTCCAGTTGACTAAAACATAAACTGTACGACTTGGTAAAAATAACAATAAGGGCTAGACACGGTGGCTCCACACCTGTAATCTCAGCACTTTGGGAGGCTGAGGCGGGTGGATCATGAGGTCAGGAGTTTGAGGTTTGAGAACAGCCTGGCCAATATGGTAACCCTGTCTCCACTAAAAATACAAAAATTAGCCGAGTGTGGCGGCATGGCACATGCCTGTAGTCCTAGCTACTCAGTTAGCTGAGGCAGAAGAATCGTTTGAACTCAGGAGGCAGAGGTTGCAGTGAGCCAAGTTCTTGTCACTGCACTCCAGCCTGGGCTAAAGAGTGAAACTCCATTGCAAAAAAAAAAAAAAAAAAATCCAGTAAGAATATTAGCCAAAAAGAGGTATTGCCATTTTGACCAAGTTATTCACAGTTATGAAAACAAATATTTCATCTTCTAACCCATTTCCCCAATAAGGATCTCTCTTGCATGGCTCCCTCAATCAGAAGAAAAGTTCTAAAGAAAGGGGGAAAGCATAGGACTTGCAAAATGTAGGAGGGATGTAGAAAGAAGAATTCTTTCCTCTCCTACACAAATGAAAATTTTGGTTTCTAGTGAAAGGCTGTGAATATAAATTTAAGATGACTTAACTCTCTACTTTTCAACCAGATGAAAACAGATGCTATTTGACCTTAGCTAGAGAGGACGGCATACATATCTACTTTCAGAAGTCAGCCCAAAAGCTAACTTTGAGATTGCCCAATGTAAACGGAAAACAAGATTCACTCTGATTATCTGTCTCTGAGAAAAAAGCAAGCCTGATAGTGGGCACTGGCTTTTTCTTTTAAGACAGTCTAACTCAGTTGTTAAATCAGTGTTGAATAATGTGTTGTGTATGCACATAAAAATGACAGGAATGTGAGTAATTCCTAGTTGACTTGCTATTTTATATTGATAACACTGTCAATTAAAAATTCTAAAAAGTTCTATACTAACTTGAAAGAGAAAACCATTTATGAAGTATACCTCCAAATCCCAAAATCAAATGCCTTTGCTAATAAAAAATTTTCTTTGCTGGCAGTTCAGTCAGCATAATTCAGGTCCAAACAGTATTCAAGTGTTTAATGATTTGGTTTTTTAAATGACTGATGAAAAGCAGTTTTTCCTTAGGCCAACTTTATCTTCTTTCAACAATAGATAGAGGAAAAGTTTTAACTCTAGAAATACCAGATACGGTTGACTATTAAACCCGTGCATGATTCTCACAATAGATATCTTAAAAAAGAGAGAGAGAGAAATGCACTAAGCAAAGCCTAAAACTCCACCTAAGTATCTTCTGAGGTTCTTGTGTTCTAATGTTAAAGATGATCTAAACACTGCGTTCTTTAGCAACCTATTTGCAATTTGAAGAGTTTCCTCCTTTCCACCCTGATGGGAATAGGAGCTGGTGTGTTAAGCAAAAGCTACCAAATGAGAGCAACAAATGTGGTGACCTGTAAATCTTAAGAAAGTAAAAGTTACTATTTGACTTACAGCAACTGCTTCCAGAAGGAGCCCATTTAAGCACTGACTCAGGGAGCTCATCCAACAGACTAAAACAAAATAAAGTAATGCACAATGAATATGTTTTCAACCCTGTGACTACTTTGAATAGAAAACAAAACCCTAATTTTGGTGTTGGTAGGTCACCAAAATTGTGATTTTCAATGCTTTTTTTTTTGGTTACCCAGCTATAATAGGAAAGTAAGCAGAAGTAGGGGAGAACCCTCAATGCCCATAAACTAATTTTATATCAGTAACCTAGACTAACATAGGGCCAGGAAGGTGTGGTCCCTTTTCTTACCCACCATAAGGGTCACAGCCAACATTCCTGTAACAAAAGGCAGGTTATCAGGAGAAAGTATAACAAACTTATTTAATCAGTTTTATATGACACGGAAGACTTCAGAAATGAAGATCCAAAGACCCAAAGAAGTCTATCTTTATGCTTAGGTTTGATGAAGAATAGACAGCTGTGTAGAAATGTGATTGGACAAAGGGTATGATCTAATAGTACTGAAGTGCGGTGGGGGGACCCAGTAAGTCTGTCCATATTCTTCTTGATGTGTGTAGCATTTACTCCTCCTGGGGATGGGGCAGGACCCCTTTGTAATGAGGGTCTTCAAGGGAGAAGGAAGAGGATGGCCGTTTCTACAGTAACGGGGGGTTCTAGTTTCTGTAACCTACTTTGGGGAAGAGGAATTCTGGTTTCTATGACTCTCTTCTGGAGAGGAGAAGGGATGAGACAAGAGGGCAGGAGGTCAGAAAGAGGCCATCCAACAGACTAAAACAGTCTCTTTCAGTTCAAAGGTTCTCAGTATGCCAAAGCACCCCACTTTGGGGTACTGTTTTCTAAGTCCCAATACTGAACAAGGCAGAATTATAGGAATTATAATATAAATGCTTTAACTCAAAGTTTATATATGCAGAAACACAGAAGTAGTAATATTTATCATGATTTTTTTTTCTCAAAAACAACAATAAAAAATTCATGCAAACACTGTATCTGAAGTTTCAGGATTATTTTTTTCCTTAGGCATTTACCACTGGAGAGAAGTTAATTATTATATATGTGCATTGTTCTCCACTGGGCAAAGTTTTATGCTATCCCATAATTAAACAGGTTTGCAGGATGCTCAATTGTTAAGTGTAATGCAAATATTCCAAAATTAAAAAAATCTGAAATCTGAAACACTTCTGGTCCCAAGCATTTCAAGTAAGAAATACTCAACCTGTAAAAACATTCAACTAAAATTATTTATATGTGTGAGTGACTCACAACCTCTGGCATAGGCAGAATAACAATACACACATTGATCCAGAATCACACTATGTCAGGAAAATAAAAGGAATACAGGAGATACAGTGTCTTGGTTGAATATACAATCCCACTCTTAGGGGAATTTCAGTGTCATACCTTCTCAGCAAGTTGAATGAATTATGACTATGTACTATATATAGTATATATATTATATAAATTTATATCGATTAAATTATATAAATTGTATAAATTACATAAATGTACTATACATAAATTATAATTATGTACTATAACAAGTTTGAAAATGTCTATGGTTTATCTGAATTATAAACTTCATAGTATGATATTGGCTTTACAAGTCTATAGACTTACATTATTAATCAAGTCAAAATGAAGATATTAACATATATGAGTCTCCAAAATGTAAATAAAAGTTATGCTTGATTTATTAGCATATTTTATTATTTTACATGACATCCTATTATACACAAATATACATAAGTATATTCATTATGGAGACCTACAATGAATATATATATATGCATATTGATAAAAAACTAAAACAAGTCATACTAGTCTTATTTAAATAAAAACATATAATCATTAAAATTAAAATGCTAGTTTTTAAAAAATAATATTACTTTATTATATTACTCTAATTAGGTAAACTGGTTTGGAAAATTAAATACCAAAACTGTTTATATATGCCCATCATGGTGTTTTGACTTGACCCATATTTCAAAAATGTTACATGAGAATATGGACACATCAATCACTGCAGTAAATAACTGATTTAGTTCTAATATGGACTTACATAAATGTATTAGTTTTGGGTAAGGGACTAGGATGATCAAGATTCCAAGTGGAGGAATATTTCTATACTATATGTCAGTATTTACAAATGTAATATGTATTTTTCTGAATCTGCTGGCTAATCTTTCTCATTATTAAGAACAGATGCCACACTGAATTCAAAGAGATTTCTATGAATCAGCTAATTTTTCCCTAGCTTTGTACTCTTCTGTTGTGATTGTCCTACTTAAAACTTAGCTTAGCTGATGCTTTGCTATCTGTGGATAACTACTGGTGAGCATATCTTGGTATATAATGAAAAACTGGCTATTCTGTGCTCTCTACAATTGACTTTTTCTTAGGCCTGATCAGTGCGAGAACTGCACAACAGTAAAACACCCTGTTCTTAGTCTGACCTAATTCTTATGCTAACTGAATCCAGGTAATAAAAACTGAATGTAGAATATTAAAAATGTTTTTGTGGCTATAAGATTATCTCATATAAATAGCTCATGTAAAAACTGTTTCTTCTTTGAGAAACAAAACATATTCCCTCAAAGATAGAAATAAGAGGTACGTTGCTTTCACTTGAAAAATATAAGCCCTATTTGTCCCATTTCACACTGCTATTTTACACAGTTAATATCAATCATACCAAGCTCAGACTACTTCAACATACTTGCACAATGTTAATTTAAAATACTCTTCCTTGAAAAGACTACCACCTAAAATCTAAGCTTTGGAAAATACCACATAAAGAAACAGCTATTTCACTTTATATTTTGCACTGTAATTCAAGTACATGCCTTTTTATAATGTTAACTTAATGGATTTTATGTGTTAGTTGTTTGGTTTTTTTAAACATATTTTTCAAACTAAAGAAATTTGCCTTGGTTGTCATGTTGGGTGAATGCCAATCTTCTCTGTGTTGTTAGCTCCCTTTAATGTATCCCTTCAGACCTGCTGCAGTATATGATGAAATACTTGAAAATTTGTACTTTGTTTTAGCAGTCTGCACAGCCACAGGGTCCTTCAGGTTCTGATCCCAGGGAAGTTTCCCACACAACCACCGCAGCATGCAGTAGCCAAGGATCTCAACGTCACTTCGTCTGGACAGGGCTAGAGGAGTAAGCATTAGAGAGAAAGATGAGGGATAAGCAAGTCATTGAGAAATGGAGAAATCTTTGGGTGATCTACTACTGATGAAATATGAAAAAGCCAAATGGGCAAAGTGTTTTGTTTGTTCAGCTGGAATAAAACTTAAACGCCCAAGCATTTGGCCCCAATCCACAGACAGGCAGCGACTGGATGCTGTTGAAAGTAAGGGTCAGTTGCCTCACCTCCTCCAACTTCATCTTTCCTTAGTCTGGCTTGTCACATGAACTTGATCCCCATGGCCTCTGACATGATCCAGACAACCCATAACCCGGCACCAACACTTTCTCAAAGAGCCAAGCAGTAAAACAAAGAAATAAATGTCTGCAGCTAAATTGCTAACATATGTTCCAGGAAGTCCATAGGGTCTGCGTTGGTCATGCAGAGACCCTCTGAGTGCAGACTAAACACTGATGGCCTTTCCTGTTCCACCCATACTAGCAGCATTTGAAATTGGAAGAATATGACAAAACTGCCATCTAGTGTGCAGTATTAAAAAACAGGTCTGTCTCAAGATTTTTCAATCACATGAAAATATAATAAAAATATGTCTACTGCTTTGGATATAGGGTTCTACAATTTTATAAATACTATTTATGGATATAAGCAGCAGCAAGCTAAAATTCTGGTCCTGTATCTATATTAAAGTGAGGCAATGGCATTGGAGGCAGCGGGGAGAGGTGGTGGGGAGTAGATTCTGAAGCCAAACAGAGGCTTTCAAAATTTAATATAAGATGGTTTTCCATAAAAAATACATTAAAAGCACATTTACAGGCCCTTGAAAATATCATTTATATCAAGCTATTAAATGCTGTAGACTAATTTCATAATTTAACATATATTTGTAAGTGCCTTATATGAGAAGATGGACAATGAAACCTAGGAAACATCAAACATAACTGAACTTATTAACAAACCACTGAAATAATGATTCAAACATTAGCAAATACCCATAAAATAAACCCATTTTATAGTCATTCAAAATTGTTATAAAACAACAGGCTTATACTTACATTTCTATCATTACTCCAATGTTCATCTGTGTAGGGATACATAATCTCCTAAGAGTAGTAGGTGGCTGTTAAAACTGCTGTAAACAGGTATCCTATTTTATTATCCTTTATGAAATAAACTCTGTAAAGTTACTCAGTGAACTTAGTTTTTAATTTGAAAAGTCATCTACTAAGAACAATGAGGCCACCACATCATAACTACTTTTGGTTACCATGTATAAGTTATTATAAAAGCAGAAGACATGATTAGCTCTTACACTGGATCTTAACTGCTTTTAGCGTATTGGATTACTAAAGGCCCTTCAATCTAGCAGAATGCTACAGTCCCAGGGGTGCCATTTACTTTCCGCACAAGCTTCAACAATGTCCTAACGCAAGACCTGGCTTTCATATTAAAATAACAACACAATCTCTACCACACTGTTCTGTAGTGATTTCTTCAGTAATAAATCTCCCATTAATAATGGAATGGTTCCATTTGTACAGATGTGTTCACAAGTCCCTTTTCCATTATGGCAATTCCCGATTACCATTACTTAAAAAAATTCATATCCTCTAATTTTCAAAAAATGATATTCTGGCACCTGTTTGGATGATATAAGCTACACACAAGAGGCCCTTTGAGGAAAAATAATCAGAATTAAAGTAGATTGAACCTTCCTAGCCATTTCCCCCTACCCCTCAACTGAGGGATTAATTGATATGAAGCTGTAAGTAATGACAAGTCATTTAGATTTCTGAAGTCAATCTTTCATAAACTGATCTTCATTTGAAACAGCCCTTTGAGAGTTAACTTTACTTCACTATTATAGTTTGGTCTTACCTAATTAAAATACATGATCACATTTTTCAATCTTTTATTTTCTTTTTTGTATATATATATTAACAACTATGGTTAGGTAAACATTTTACCACTGTTTCTGATAAGTCCTACATAAATACATGTAGTGATAAAAAGAACATCTAATAGTCACCCTTTCCTTTGAAGGGTGAGGGACTAAAAATGTTTATGAGTATATACCTCTATCTGAAATTCCCTCTCAGAAATACAAATTGAGAAGTCTGACTTGTTTGGTGAAGTTAAAATCTTAGACTTTCCCAATGATTGTCTTCTTTCCATCTACTGTACACAGGAGTAATTTTAATACCTGTTAAATTAATTAAAAACAAATATTCTAGACAATATTAGAATCTATGTGTGCTTGTATAATTTACACAAAGAATTGATTATAGTCAGAGACTATTAATGTCTAACTATAAAAAAATCTTTTTTTAATTTGAAAGTTGCTTCTTTAATTATACAATTTTTAAACTCATTTTAAAACATGTTAAGTGAAGCAGTAAATAGAGAGAGCTCCGGACTAGGAATGAGATCCAATTCTAGCCCTGCCACTAACATTTTACATTTTCAGCTTTAAAATCAGATGATACTGTGCAATGTATTTCTTTTTCATATACTTTCATTCATTTGAATAGAAAATACGTTATGCATTATTTTGTTTCTGAGTCACGTATTTGCACAATTTATTGTAATAAACAGGGTTCTTCAATGGCATTTGGTAATTAATATGATTATTGACAATACATTTTCATATAGATGTCATAAAATGAAATGTTTACTTATTATTACTTGAAAGTGTAATGAGATTTAGTTATTTCTTTCTCAAGTTAGTTTCTAAATATTATTTATTAATAGCATCTAACTTACATTGAACTTACTAATATGGAGCAATATACATCACTCTTGTTGAAAGCCTGTGGTATTCTCAATTGTTCAACATTTCTAAATTATCAAGTATTGCCAAAGTAAAAACAATTATAAAGATACAAGCACAAGTGGGGATGTAAATTCTATTTAACTAGAAATAAAATTTTAGAAATGGCTGAGAATAGAATGCATAATTAAAAACAATTGATGTGTTTTATGTAGAGCTGCTACTGTGCCTGGCACTCTACCTGCTTTTTATTATTTCATCTAATCTTTCAAACAATTTAAAATAAGTATTATTAGCTCTAATGACAACAATATGGAGTCTCAGATAGGTTAAATAATTTGCTCAATATCACAGAGCAAAAATTAACAGAGCTCAGCACTGATATCCAAGTCTTTGAGAAACCAAAGCGTGTGCTCAATCTAATAATTACTTTGCTGTTGGGCACAGTAGCTCATGCCTGTAATCCCAGCACTTTGGGAGGCTGAGGTGGGCAGCACTTTGGGAGGCTGGGGAGGTCAAGAGTTCAAGACCATCCTGGCCAACATGGTGAAACCCCATCTCTACTAAAAATACAAAAATTAGCCAGGCATGGTGGCACACACCTGTAATCCCAGCTACTTGGGAGGCCGAGGCAGGAGAATTGCTTGAACCCAGGAGGCGAAGGTTGCAGTGAGCTGAGACTATACCATTGCACTCCAGTCTGGGCTACAGAGCAAGACTCCATCTCAAAAATAATAATAATATTATTATTATTATTACTTTGCCTCCATCACTAGTTTTAATATCACTCAAACAACATTACATACACAACTTCCACAGTGAGGGAGGTGTTTGAAGCAGGCATGTAAACTTACAGCAATAAGACATTCTGATACAAATATAGTTGTTTTGGCAAGGAATAAATAAGTGGAAGAGCCTGAGTTCTAAGCTGCATCACTGATGAAATTGTTTCTTTCATGAAACAACTTATTTCAATACAATACAGAAGGATGTCTAGTTAAAATATTTATTTATAAAGTGATAAATGGACCTTTCAAACTGGTATAAGAACAACAGATACGTTAGCTTAGTGAACTCGTCTATAGTCTAAAGACAAACTGGAATAAAATTAACTGGCCCAATTCACCAAATGGACTGAAAGAGGAATTGGAGAAAAAGAAAAGTCTAAGTGTTAATTCCAAGATTAATCTCCTTACTTGCCTTAAGTTTTCTGTTTAGTTTTATTTCTTATATGGAGTAACACTATGGAGTATGAAAACAGCTAGGTTTAGTAGGAAATAATAAAGTGAACTTGAAAATTTCTCCATCAAGCAGAGTTCAAATGCCCAAAATATTAATATATGTGCTAAGACAGTAAGAAAGCAGAAAACATGTGAATAAGATGCTCACCTGGCAAAGTGAATAGTGACTATCTGCAGAACAAATTTAAAGTTTATTCTTAGTTTTCCAAGTGGTAACCTATGTAACTCAGTATTTTGTCAATTCTGATGTGTAAAGATCCAGAATATTTTATAGTGACCATGACTTACTGTAATTTTGAAAAGGATATTAGGAAATACTAGGATGCAATGTGTCCTATTTCAGATAAAATATTAAACCTAGGCCTCTCTTAGTTTTTCAGTACCTTTTAAATTTTAAGCCCCCGTTTTTTTGTGTGTGAAACTTAGGAAAAGTCACTCAATAGAGCAAATGAATCTTAGACTTGGCCAATGTGTATTCTTAACCTGACCAAAAGGCCAAGATATCTATCAAGACTTTAAAAGTCATGTTTAAATGTAAAAACTGGGTATTTGCCATAGAGAAGGAATAGATTACACTACTGTTTATTTATATATTAACCAAAGATAATTTATAGCAGTCAAATTTATATCAAAGAAGAAATCAACAGTATATTATTCTGTTTAATAACAGATCTAAAAGGGCATATTAATATTTTGATGATCCTTAATATTTTATAATTGGAAAATTAATTCACTTTTTGGAATTATTGCTTAAGAATATAAGTATTGTATAAACCACGTCATTTCCTCGAGTTTGTTAGCATGAAAATACATTCTCAGTTTATTTCACATATATTTTGTAAGTTGGAGTGTTAGATTACAGTGAAATGAAACCATGCAAGAAATAACACAAGACTTGGATTTCACATACCATAGCAATTGGCAAAAATTAAAAAAAGGTATGCAATGTATTTATTTCTTTGACACTGAATGTATTAGGTAAACAAATGGACATTTAAAATACAATTTAGATATCCTATTATATGGTCATCAAAGATGTCAAATTAAGATAGGTATTATAGACTCAATGCACAGGTCTGAAGTATTTAAAAAAATCTCAATATGTTAAATGCAGTATATCTCTAGAGAAATTAGTTATTGACTGCATGCTTCAGTGAGTAGAAAAATCTACAAAAATCTATACCACACATTGACTCAAATATTGCTTTTTAACATTACGAAGAAAGTAACAAATTTTAAAATAGTATATTTGACACAGATATAATTGTCTTTAATTATCAGGCAATAAGCCCAACTATGTCAATGTTTATACATGTTAGTTTTTATGAATAATAAAAAATTAATAATAGAAGAAATAAGCCCAACATATGTTATTCTAATTTTATACTAAATGAAGCACTTTAGCCACTTAGAAAATACCTTTAGGTCATTCAAGAGAATTGAGTTTGGAAGAATAACCACAATTTTTAAAAAAATACAGATACGCAGATGTATAGGAGTTCTAGGAATAGTTATTTGTTCATTCATCCATCTGTCCATCCATTCTCTATACATCTCCATGCATATCTTTTGGTTTGTAATAATAGCTATTTTTTCCCCTTTAAACTACCCTCCTTTTATGTAATTTGAATTAGAAAATGCTTAGATGAAATGGCTGATTGGCAGCTTATACACGTTCCTTCATTATAAAAACTCAATCCATAGAAAAATGAGATTTAGCTTCAGTTTCTTAATAACCTGCTACAAAAAGTAGCACAGAACAGATGGTCTGATTAGTCTAACAGTAGTGTCCATTGAGTGGCTAAGTCGTAAGCCAGTTTTACATTGAAGCTTGAGTATTTCTCTTCAGGTCTCTTGACCTGACCAGATACAGATAGACCTGACACTTGGCTAATGCTTTGGCACCTAGAAATTCTATATCCTAGTAATAATTTTGTTTTGCTCTTTATACTTTATTTTGCACTATTTTTCCTCAGTATTTATTTGACCTCATAGTTGGACTGAAAAACAGATTTTTCTGAGATTAAACTACATAGTGACTGTATTGAAAGTAAACACATGAATATTTATGAATCTGACCTGCATTTTCCTATAAGCTTTATGGCACTGTTTATTCTGGTTTCTAGATATAGCTAAATGATTATTTATTTTCTAATAAAATCCTCAACTGAAATGTTTTACTTTGGAAAATTAAATGTAAAACATAGGAGTAAACATATTCAAACATTTGAGGATATCAAATTTTCCATTTTATATCACAGACTAAAACTTCACATTAAAATGTCAGCAAATATATATATGGGTGTATATATGTGCACATATGTGCATATATATGTAATGTGTATATCTATATCTACATATATATATCAATATGCCTAGAATTTTAGTGTAAATTCTAATCCTAAATGCATTTAAAATGCATTAAGAAAATCTATTTTATAGGAATCTGGTGGAACCCTTGATAAAAATGAATATCCATTCTATCATATAACTTTTCAGCAAATCCCAAAAATACTTAATGTAGTTTCTTCTCTGAATATACCTCCCAGGGATGTAATATCATCTTTCTGTGATCATTCTTAGTTGTCTTCTCCCCAAAGACTGAGGGTGGTGAAATCTCACCAACATATTCAACGTGTATTAAGATTTTGGAATAAAAATATAAGTAGACTAAAAAATAAAAATGTCTTCAAATCTTTCAAGAGGACAACACAATGAAAATGACACCCTAAACCATGAAATTAATTGAAAAGGTCTTTCAGATTTACCACAGTCCAAACATTGACCATACCAACACCTAACAACTCTGCTCCTCCTTCCACAATCACAGTGGTTTCTTAGCAATTCTAATACTCCAAACTAGATCACAGCAGTATTAGAGCTACCAGTTGAAAAAATAACTCAAACATAAGTTGGTATCATTATTAATATAACTGGACCAATGCTTAAGAACCTGTATGATGAATTTCCAGTTATACCATTATCAAAAAAGTACTTACTGTTTTTAAAAATTCCATTAACTATAATAGAATAAATCTAGCAAAGATGAGAAACAAAATCCACTGATAGTGAAAGAACTTTAGACTGGAAAAAAAAAACCACTAAGAGCATTTAATTCTTACATTTCTTATTCAATTCTCATATTTCCTAATGTAAGATACGCCCCATATTATCTTTAAATGCTCACTAACTTATTAACAATGTGAGTACTGAAAAATCATACAACACTACAAAATTTCTGACTGATCATTACTTTTCTAACCAAACTATACTTAAAAAATATAGTCATTTATTTTACTCTGATCAGGAATAAAAAGCTAATTTCCATTTCAGAAAATGCCGCCTATGAATCTTTCTGAAACGAAGAAGGTATACTTGTTTTACTTTTTCGTTGTCCTACCTTAAGCCACTATGGGTTCTAACAGTCTGCAAAATGATCAGGACCCTCTACATTACATGGTCAATGGTCCTTTTAACAGAAATGGCAATAATACACAGTTGTTTTCACCAACTAAAACTTGTTAGAAAGTATCAGTTTAGGGTAACAGTTCAACAACCATTAAGAAGTGCAAATATCTAATTGACTTTTAGTGAAAATGTGGTCCTTTCAAAGTTGTTTAAAAATTATTTGATTGGTTTAGCATATTTGAAAATACTTTTATAAACAAAGTTTACAAAGAATATAATTTTGAAAGCCAAAGTTTTTCAATCATTACCATTTTTTCACTCGCATAACATTAGAATTGACTTTTTGTCTTGCTGACAGAGCAACTAAGAAAGTACAGTTGCATTGACCATATTGATTGTGAACAAAGCAACCATCAGTGGGACTCGGCACCATATATTTTCAATATTGACCTCCTACTTCCTTTTCCATGGCTTTCTGGGTCGGCTATTGGATTTGGACTGCAGTGTAATAAACAGCTAAGGTTTAATTAATGGTAAATGAATACAAGACATAGGTTATGACTTTAACTAATTAGGGAATTGTTGAATTAAGTCTGCCTTGGAATGCAAGGCAGTACAATCAATATCCAATAAAAGGACTATGTATGTAATTTACCTGCAAATGTGTTTCCAATACCATCAAAATGAGTTTAAATAAGTAAGATATATGAAAGGCGACTGGGAGAGATTTCCACAAATTAACACTTTATAGTTTCAGAAAAGTTATCCTTATTGTTGAGAAATGATATCTTCTAAAGCTTTGGTAAAGGTACAATGGAAAAACAGGAATAATTGTTCACATGTGCACCTTTTTTTTTTTCCTGAGACAAGGCCTTGCACTGTTGCCCAAGTTGGAGAGCAGAGGCATGATTATGGCTCACTGCAGCCTCAACCTCCTAGGCTCAAGCAATCCTCCTCCCACTTCAGTCTCACGAGCAGCTGCGACCACAGGCAAGTGTTACCCCTTTTGTATTTTTTTTTGTAGAGATGGGGTTTCACCATGTTGCCCAAACCTGGTCTTTAACTCCTGGCTCAAGCGATCTTCCTGCCTCAGCCTCCCAAAGCGCTGGGATTATAGGCATGAGCCACTGTGCCTGGCCCATGCACAACTTTACCAAATCTGTAATATACACTTCAGTATAAATATTCAGTGCTGACCTCCAAGTCTAACCTATACGAACTAGTGGTTTTCTGGCTAAAATGAGCATCATGTTCTGCTTATTTGACACATTTTTGCTCCTTCATCACTTGTCATAGTCTATATTTCTTTCCACTGTTAGAAGAAATATTCATTGGCATAACAGGAATTCACTACTTTTGATAAAAGTCTCACCAGTGCTCTTATGTTTCAAACTGACTATGCAAAGGTCATTTCATGCAGCCTCATTACCCTTGACTCTAATCATTCTTCTGAAATAAAAATTAAAAAAAGAAAAAAGAAACCCACCTACTCCCCTGTGGGCATCCAAGCTGGTAAACTCCATTGTCCCATTATGGCCTTTTCTAGGATTTTCCTGATACTGTTTGTGGTTCCCATTGGGACAATATCTGTAGGAAAGTCCATAATCTGCAAGATAAACCTGGAAGACAAGCGCAGAAGAATGAATAATGCCTTTGTCCTCTGAAAATATAACCTTTATAATTAAGTCTTAAGAAACTGATAGGTTAAGAACAGCCTCACATCTACATTTTATTAAACCAAATGGTGCCTTAGGATAAAATATGTACAACTGGGAGCCATAACACATTTCCAACTTAAATTCTTTCTTCATCATTGGCATATCTTATTTCTGAGTTGACTTAGATTTTTAATCTTTTTATTTTGCTCCTAAATTCCCTTCCCTCCAGGTGGGCATCTAGACATCATAAACCACAATATGTCTTTTTATCTATATTCACACAGTTGAGGAAGCTTTGCTTTTTCCTGAAACCCCTCCCTGAAACATAAAACTATTTCAAGCAGGAAGAGGAGATAAGAGCAAACATTCTAAAAGTATAAACTTGATTCTTGAACATCGGTTTGAACTGCACAGGTTCACTTACACGTGGATTTTCTGCTGCTTCTGCCATACCTGAGATGGCAAGACCAACCCCTCCCTCCTCAGTGTACTCAACATGAAGATGATGAAGACCTTCATGATGATCTAATTCCACTTAATAAACAGTAAACATATTTTCTTTTTCTTTTCATATTTTTAAGTTTCTTTTCTTTAGCTTTCAGAATACAGTATGTATAATACATATAACTATAAAATAGGTATTATTCGAGTGTTTATGTTATCAGGAAGGCTTTCTGGAAAACAGCAGACTATTTGTAAAGTTTTTGAAAAGTCAAAAATTAAAATTATGCAAATTTCTGACTGTTCGGGAGAGTGGGGGTCAGCACCCTTAACCCTGGCATGTCATAGGTCAACTGTAAACCTAATGTTATGAGTCTCCATTAACAGGAAACATAATGATAGTGAAGAGACTGTAAGAGGTAATTACTCAACCAAAACACAAAAAAACACCATCATGTTATCATCTGTATTTATGAATGGAACATGGATGCGGAACTTTTGACCTTTCACACGAATCCATATCATCACTGTTACCTTTCAATGTCAGTTAGGATTGCACACAGGGCCTCCAAACAGAATACAGATTGTTAAAAGTCAGATGGCAATTCAAGTGAATTTACCTCAGATTACTTTTGGAGGGAGAAGAAAGGGGGAGAAGTAGTTTTACAGACAGAGCATACATTGAATGGAGAAGTGTTTTGACTAGACATTTACTGTGACGTGTAGTCAGAAAATAGCAGTTTCCAACTATGATTACCATTCCCCCTCCCCAGAAAAAGAAAGCAGTTTCAACTTTGAAAATGTATCATTTCACGTACATTTCTCTAAAATTAAAGGATTTAGGCAGTGTTTCATAATGCAGCTTCAAGACAATAGAGTATTTACAATATTATCTGCACTTAAAATAGATCTATTAAAAGGAAAGTCTGCATTTGAATTTTAGTTTCTTTAAGTTTTTGGTTTTAGGATAGACTCAGTAAGAGATATTTTAAACTTTAAAATATAAACAGCACAGAGATGTGTTGGAGTAACTTGCAAGGCTGTCTGAAAACAAATATTTCACTTTGTCTCTCTCTCCCACAGATGCTGTTTCTTAACATGGCCTCAGAAGTAATTGATCTCTCTGCCCTAACTCAACTAGACACCTCAGGATCAAATATGGAACAGGTTGCTTGCTTTCACTGTTTCTGATGCATTTCTGTCTTTATATCAAGAACTACACAGGCTTCACATTACAAAGCAGATATCCCAAAATGGGACATATTGATAATTATACAAATGGTATTGTATTTTAATACACTAGTTTACTATTTTGAAAAAGGAGCTACTAAGAAGCTTTTTATGTACTCACCAGCACAAAGAAATAAGACTTAAATTTTATGAGGTGCCTACCATGTGCCAAGCAGTATGCTAAGTACCTTACATCCACTGATCCTTTAAGTCCCATTATCTCCATTTTATTTATATGGAACAGAAGTTTAGTGAGGTTATGGGGCTTGTGTAGTAAAATGAAGTCAGGTATCTATGGCAATTCTGACTCTAGAGCTTTTATTCTCAATCACTGTCAAAGGGAAATAGTACCAGACAAGTTAAAAACATAAGAAAGATTTCATTCAAATCTATTGCAATAGGAGAGAGGCGAGTGTAATAGGGAAGAGAGTTTGAACTAAACTTCAATGAAACAAAAGGTAAAAGTTTTAAAAAGCACTGGAGTGACATAGTAGAAAAGTACCAGAGGATGTTATAGTGAGGCTGGTCAATGTGATCATGCTATCTACACTTGCCAATTGGTGCTAAGGCTCCTACCTCCCACAATGACTAATATCCTGCAAAAGAATGACCATCTTGGGTTATACAACTGGCAGGTGGATGACAGAAAACTTAATACCTCAAAGGGAAAGAAAAGAATTTACAGTTTCAAGTATTCTTAAGTTAATGCTCTAAGAAAGAGAGGTCAGGGGCCTGCAGTCAGGAAGAAGCCTATCAAGTGGTGTCAAGCTAAGGGGAATATTAAGGCTATCTTTGTTATCACTAAGCTACAGTCCTCTGGGTTGTGCTAGGTTGCTCAAACTTTGAAGGGCAGTATAGGATTTACATTTAATATAAAGATAAAAACCTGGCCAGTCATCGTAGCTCGTGCCTGTAATCCCACCACTTTGGGAGGCCAAAGTGGGCAGATCACTTGAGATCAGGAGTTTGAGACAAGCCTGCCCATCATGGTGAAACCCTGTCTCTACTAAAAATGCAAAAATTAGCCAGGTGTGGTGGCACACATCTGTAATCTGAGCTACTGGGGAGGCTGAAGCAGGAGAATCACTTGAACCCAGAAGGCAGAGACTGAGTGAGCCAAGATTGTGCCACTGCATTCCAGCCTGGGCAACAGAGCAAGATTCTGTCTCATAAAAAAAAAAAAAGAAAAAAGAAAAGAAAAAAGCTAACAATACAACAAAGAAGATATACATTAGCTATCTGCTATTTCGTCCATGAGTATTTCAGACCTAAAAACAATTTAGAACATGCATCAGTACAACCTTGAGGAGCATGATTTCTAAGAAAGTAATCCCTCCAACAACACCACTTGCTGTTTTCCAACCAATGAGAAATGTCATGGTAGTCTTAATAGGAAGTTATAGGTAGGATTCAAATAATCACTAAAAGCAATTGAACAAAACAATAGAGTTAAGACTCCTTTAGCAAATGAACAACCATCCATCCCCACTCTCAACCTTTATATACACCTTTTTTTCCTAGTTTGGACTTTTATCCATCAGCTTAGCATAGGGTTCAAAATATTTTAAAGAATATAAATATCCTTCAGAAAATTCTAGAAAATATTCTCTAAGATTCTCATAAAAGTTTCGCCACCAGTATATGTTAATATATTTTTAAAATATAGATTATGGGGCACTACCAAAGAGATCTAAGAGTGACTGTTTTTGGTGAGTAGAAACTATATGTAAGAAGTCAAGTCAATAATCTGTCCCAAATAATCAAAATGCTGACAAATTAATTTGACTTGTTGGGGCTCAGAAAATAATATTCCAAACGAAGGCACCTTGGCATGCTAAGAACTTTGAATGAAAGGAAACTGAAAGGCCTCAGAAACAAGCCTCAGAACCAAGGTCTCTGTACTTCTGCTCCCAGTTTCTACCATCCTCTTTCTTTCGGGAAGCAGTAGGAGGGGCTCTCTCTGAACTTCCATCATCTGATTAAGGGAAGTTCCTCCAGAAGAAATGCAACTGTCTTAAAACTCCTTCCCTAGGAATCTCATCAAATAACCAGAAAAGATTAGTCACCAAAGAAAAGACTAAAAGTCATAACCACACCCAGACAGGTTTTTCTTCTATTCTTCTGAGGGTAGTTCCGAGAGATTACCTAAGAGACAACTTGTGTTCATAGTAGAGTTCTACCCCTCAGCTTCCCACAATTTGCTGTAATGTCCCCCAGAGCTCAGTACAACTTTGTCCTAGGCCAACAGTCTGTTGTTTGGGCTCATTCATTTCCCTCAAAAGTCATGTGCTTCTAAAACTGCATGTACTTCCCCACTTCCTTCTTCCATATGAAGAGGGTATTTAAACCTCAACCATCTGGACCTTCTTTGAGTCTCATATTTTCAGGACTCCTGTGTCCATGTACACGATAAATTTGTAGGCTTTTTTTCCTGTTACTATACTGTCAGGTCATTCAGTGACCCTTCGGGGGAGTGGAAGAAAAGTTTCCTATCCGTCCTTACAGACTACAATTAGGTCACACTGAGAGTTCTACTAAAATAACTTGCTAGAGATACACAGTCTAAAATTCTGCTAAAACAAAGAAGGTGTGGGGGAGGGGAATCTAGAAAATATTATCAAATAAGGAAAGGAAGGGAAGAAATGAAGTAATATTTTTTGAGGTTCTACTATCTAATAATCATTGGACAAAGTACTTTTCTCAAATTATTTCACTGAATCCAGACAACCACATTCACCCTGATAGCACTGGTTTTATTTTACATATGAATAAGAAAGCTGAGCATCCCAGCAGTTAACTAACTTGTCCAAGTCATAGAGCTAGTAAAGGATGAAAGCAGGACTTGAATCCTGGCCTATAAGACTTCCAAATTCCGTTATCTTTTTAAAAAATACAATATAGAATTAAGAGTTCTGTCAACTCTGAAATTATGTTGAAGTAAAAAATGAGTTTATGCAGAACTAAATCTACAGTAGGGGTCACAGTCTTGGTCCTATTTTTATACACCCTAAAGCTAAGAATAATTTTTACATTTTTACAGAATTGTAAAGGGAAAGAAAAAGAGAAGAAAATGCAACAGAGAACCATATGTGACCCACAGAACTCATAAAAGCCTAAAATATTTGCTATCTGGCTCTTTACAGAAAAAGTTGCCAACCTCTAATCTAAAATAAAACTTGTTTCAGTTCAACTTTTTAAAAATATATTACCCATTTTTTCTATTAAATCAAAAACAACTGGCTAATATTTTTCATTTTAATACAAATATACATAGTACCCCTAGTTTTAAA